CTTGATGTCATCCCACAACTTGTCTGGTCTCCAATCACTAGTGTTCAGTGCATCAAATCTGTTCTTCAGATGGTCTCTAAATTCAGGTGGGATATATTCAAAATCATATTTTGGCTCTCATGGACTTGTTTTTAATTTTCTTCAACTTGAACTTGAACTTGTATATGAGCAATTGATGGTCTGTTCCATAGTCAGCTCCTGGCATTGTTCTGACTGATAATATTGAGCTTCTCCATCACCTCTTTCCACAGATGGAGTTGATTCGATTCCTGTGTTTTCTACATGGCAAGGTCCATGTGTATAGCTGCTGTTTATGTTGTTGAAAAAAGATATTTGCAATGAGTAAGTCGTTGGTCTTGCAAAATTGTATCATGCGATCTCCCGCATTATTTCTGTCACCAAGGCCATATTTTCCAACTACTGATCCTTTTTTGTTTCCAACTTTCACATTCCAATCATCAGTAGTAATTACCAATGCATCTTGATTGCATGTTTGGTCAATTTCAGACTGCAGAAGTTGGCAAAAATCTGCAATGTCTTCATTTTTAGCATTAGTGGCTGATGCATAAATTGAAGTAACGGTTGTTTTAACTGGTCTTCCTTGTAGGTGTATGGATGTTATCCTATCACTGACAGGGTTGTACTTCAGGACAGATCTTGAAACACTCTTTTTGACAATGAATGTGACACCACTCTTCTTCAATTTGTCATTTCCAACATAGTAGGTCATATGATTGTCTGATTCAACATGGCCAATACCAGTCCATTTCAGCTCAGTGATGCCTAGGATATCAATCTTTATGCGTTCCATTTCACTTTTGACAACTTCCAGTTTTCCTAGATTCATATTCTGTACATTCCACATTACAATTAATAGATGTTTGCAGTTGTTTCTTCTTATTTTGAGCCGCAGGCACAGTAACTAGGCATTTTCATTGGCCCTTGAATATTGAGGATTTTACTGTGTCTTGGAGCTCTGGTGGTGCAGTGCCTACAGTATTTGACTGCTAACCAGACGGCTGACGATTCAAACCCACCAGACCCTCCACCAAAGGAAAATGGAGCAATCTATTTCCATAAAGATTTACCATCTTGGTAACCCAACGGGGGTCTCTATGAGTTGGAATTGACTCAATGGCAGTGGCAGTGAGGTTGTTTTTTTTTTTTTTTTTTTAAAGTGTGGCTGGAAAAGCATCCCAGTGGAAGGAACAGCATGATAGAATGTACAAAGGCACAGAGAGGCATGAGAGGAACTGGACAGTTAACATGAATGCAGTGGGGGTGAACGGAGGCCTTTGTAGATGGTGCTGAAAGGGAGGTTCAGGCCTGGTGGGGTGCAGAGCTCTGGAAGTCGGGGCACCAGGGAAGAGCTTTAAAGCAGGGGAACGATGTGGGTTCATGTAGGTCCTCTGGGGCTGAAAGGGCGGATGCCCCCTTGGGGGAGGTAGTCTGATGGGAGACCCTGAGAATGGCTTGGGCAGGGACTGCAGGGGTAGCAAGAGGGCCACATCTAACTGGTGTTAGTGGTTCAGGGGTAGAATTCTCGCCTGCCATGGAGATGTGGGGTTCTAGTCCTGGCCAGGGAAATTCATGCACAGCCAGTACCCATCTGTCAGTGGAGGCTCATGTGTGCTGTGATAGTGAACAGATTTTAGTGGACAGACAAGACTAAGATAGACTAGGAAGAAAGGCCTGGCAATCAACTTCCAAAAATGAGCCAATGTAAACTGCATGGATCAGGTAACCATGGGGATGGCACGGGACCAGCCACGTTCCCTTCAGTTGTGCACTGGGTCACCGTGAGCTGCAGTGACTCAGCAGCAACAACACAAAGAACTTGGTGGAGGGATTCAGGGAGTATGGGAGGGGTAGGTGCAGGCCCAGGTGTCTGGCTCAAGTGTCGTGGTGGATGCTGGGAACCTAAGAGAAGCTGCAGGCGCAACAATGCCCTCAGTCTTGGGCTGCTTTGCGTCTCTGGGTGCCTCTGCCTGGCCCCAAGGGCAGCCCAGGCCTTATCTTTCTATCCATGGCCCCAGACACAGGTGCATGCTCAGGTGAGACACAGGTACGTGCTCAGGTGATCTGGCTCTTAGAAGGCTCAGAAGTGAGGTGCCCAGATCCAGGAGCCAGCCCTCCAGGCTGGGCTAAAGTGAGCAGGGACAGGGGCTTACAAGGGATTGGGCAGTCAAGAGGTCCTCCCACCCAGGCCCCGGCCCCTACCCTTGGCCAGCTCCTCCTCCGCAGACTTGGTGCCCTGCTTCCGCTTTGGGGTGACGAGCTTTGTGCAAATGGCTCCCTTCTCCTTGCTGTAATGCTGTGGGTGGTGGGGGAGATAGGGACACAAAGGCAGCTGTGAGCCTGACCTGAGGTGTGGGGAACCCCTGCACCCCATTGTCCACTTCCCAGGTGGTCTCTGGATGGGGCAGGTGGGGGCTAGGGAGGGGAAGAGGGGTTTGGTTCCCACCAACTCAGTGGACTGGTTTCCATGGCAACAGGAAAGGCTGTAGGGTAGAAGGGGCAGGGAAGGGATCATTTGGACCAGTGTTAACTTGGAGATTCCTGGGGGTCCCATGGCAGTCAGCCCCAGTTGCTAGTTCCACTCCAAGGGTGAAGCCCAGAGGGCTTTGGGGTGTGAGGTCCAGGGGGGCCCTCTCTGCTACTGGAGGCTTGTTTTGAGGGTTCCACTCTGCCTAGCAGATAGGCATGGGATGGAGGTTTTGGGGTCCATGAGGCCCTTCTCTCTATTTCTGCATCTGGGGGTCCCATGGCTGCTCAGTGGGTGGGGAGGTCTCCCCATCTCTGTATTTGGGGGTCTTGCCCTGGGCACTGTATATTCCCAGTGGGTGGTAATAGGGCAGGGTGGTCCCTCCATTTCTATATTGAGGTGCCCTGCCCTCGAGGTCCCGTGTCTGCCCAGCGGTTGAGGACAGGGCGTGGCCTAGCTTCCCCCCACTTCTGTATCGGGGCGGTAGCCTAGGGCTCCCGTGCCTGCCCAGCGGCCCCGCACCTCGACCATGTCCATGAGGTTGCAGAAACAAACCACCTCGTCGATGGTGAGGTGGCCATCGCGGTGCAGCACGCGGTAGTGGATGACGTCACGGCCGAAGCTCACGCACAGCACGTAGTCCCCTGGGTGGCGCGCTGACTCGCGCACCAGGAAAAGCCCGTCCTCTGGCGGCTGCAGCTGCTGCACCGCCTCCTGGCCGGAGATCTTCCCGTGGAACCACCTGTGGGAGCCGTTGGAGGTGGGGGACAGACAGCGGGTGGGGCGGGAGGACAGGAGGGGCAGGCCGAGGGGCTCCACACCCCGCCCGGCCTTCCCACCCCACTCACGGCATGAGGCTGAGCTTGGGGTCAGTTGAGAGGGCTTCACGCTCGCGTAGGGCGCCTGCCGCCAGCAGCCCCTCCTGCCCGCTGGCGTGGTGCTTGGCACGGTACCAGCTCTTGCTCTGCCAGGGAGGGAGGAAGGGGTCGGCGTCCTGGTGGGGACGCACCCTGATCCCACCGCAAGCGCACACGCGCGTGAACGCACACACCTGCGGGCCCAGCTCACCTCACAGGCCTCCAGGATGGTGACCACATCGCCCTTGCGGAAGGCCAGCTCTCCCGGCTTGGGACGCGTGTGTTCATACTTGGTGATGCATTGGGTCCCGGGGGCCCAGCGCCTCTGGGGTGGAAGTGATGGAGGGATGCAGGCGGGGAGACAGTAAGACGGAGAGGCGGCAGAGAGGACAGGAAGGAGAAAGAGATGCAAGCCACAGAGACAGGCACGGAGAGATAGAGCATAGAGCGACAGAGCAAAACCCAGCGAATAGGATTGAGACCAGAAAGAAAGTATCAGGAAGCAAAAAGAGGGAGACGAGGAGAGAGGAGAGGGGGGCAGGGAGAAATACTGGTCACGAACACAGGGTCCCCAGGACAGGAGGTCAGGAGACAGTGGACATCAAGGGCCTTGGAGGGAGACTGGGCAGAGACCCACAGGAGGCGCGTGGCTGGGAGGACAGCCCCGCCCATCAGCCGCAGCTCCCCTCCTCCCGGGACGAAGCTGGGTCTGGAGGGTCAGAGCTGAGGCAGGGCGCCAGCCTGGGGGTGCTCACCGTGGGCATCCTGGCTGAGATGGCCGGAGGGTGCCAGGGGCGCAGGAAGCGGGGACTCACCTGGGGAGAGGGCAGAGGGGAGCTTCAGAGGCCAGGGTCCAACCCACTGGGACCCCCTGGGGTTCAGCAGCTACCACTTCCGGCCCAGGCCAGGTGGGGTGAGGACCAGGGAGCAGAAGGAGTGTCCCCAAACGGCAACCCAGACCGCTGGCTTCTCGGGGAGTGGTTGTTACCCGGGGGGGTTCCTTCACAGAGTCACAGTCATGACGTGCTGTCGGTGAGACCACAGAGCCTCGGCCAGCCATGGTCCCCAAAGGGACACAGAGCACCGGGTGGGCAGAGCGAGGGGCTACAAGGTGGGGAGGAGGAGCGCCTGGCTCAGGCTCCGGCAGTCTGCATAGTGGGTGGGGAGCTCGGTGCCACCGGTGCGTGGTTCTTCCTCTTTTCTGGGAGGCCGGCAGGGGCAGGACAAAGGAACCCGGATGAGTCAAGGTCATTCCAAGTATCTCTGACCCCAGCGCTGGGGCGGTGGTGGGCGGTGTAGCACTACTGGGCTCCCGTGGCCGCCAGCTGAGCCTCTCTGATCAGCCACGCCACACCCAGGATGGCACACAAAGTCTCAGATGCTGGGGAGTGGGCAGCGAGCTTTCCCACCCCCTATTGCCAGAAAAGCCCCCATCTCATCCACATCAGGTGCCTCGGCAGTGGGGGTGGGGGTGAGTCCCAACCCCTCCAGTCTGTGCCTCAGCCTGACGCGTACTCATACAGTGATCCATGTACACTCTCGGGCACACACGGGGCTGAGGCAAAGGGACCCACAGGCACGCGGGGCCGTAAGCAAAGGCGCGTGCACCTAAAGACAGGTATGCACACACGTGTACCCGCGAGTTCACGCGTACAGGCGCTCAGACGGCCGGGAACGTGTGTACCTGCCTGGCCCGTCCCCCAGCATACACACACACAGCCACACAGGAACAGCTGGGCGCCGCGCGCACGCAGCTCGGCCCCACGCGCGCATCCCTCCACGTGGACGCGCGGGACACACACCCGCGAGTGCTTGCAGACGCTCACCCCTGCGCCATGAAAAATATCCCCAGCCCGCGCCCTTCCCTGCCCGTGCCTAAT